CAAAATTGGTGAGATGTTAGAATAGCAGCCTAGGAGCATGTATTTGGCATTAAAACAACAAACACTTGTGAATACAAAGACCAACAATTAATTGTCTTCACTGGAAGAATTGGAACTTTCTATACAAAGTGTCTCTTGCATGTTGTGTTTACATGATTTGGGGTAAAATGAATGCTAGAAAGTACTCTAATGTCTTCTCTTAAAAGTATTGTGTTACTTTCCTGGTATACAGTGCTATTAGACTTAAGATGCTTCCCATCTCTAAGTTTAATAGTAATTTTGTTCAATACCTGCCTTTCTGGAATGGTTGACACTCTTCTTTGGGTTGTGATGCTCTATTTGGTTTGTTGTCTGAGTTAGTTTGGTTTCTTAGTTTTTGCTTTGGTTTGGTTCCCCTTGGGGATTTGTCTGTTGGCTGGGTTGTGTTGTTTCTTTATTTGAGGGAGTCCCTCTGTTGGTTATTCCTTTGTTTTTCTTTTAGTAAATTGATTAATTACCAAAAAAAAAAAAATCTATACATGTATATACATATTTTCTTGAAGTGAATTTGTGTTTGTTTAATTGATTTGAATTTATTGATTATAGATGAGAAAGAAATGATACAGAGGAGAATGATGAGGTGAACTTAGAAATATTATTAGAATAAGTAAGTTACCTTTATTTTTCCAACGAGGCTAGTGGTTCAGCTGTATCATGCCCCTACTTTTCAAACGGAAGTCAGAGGTTTGAGCCAGCTCGATAAAGGCATGTGTATGTGTACTAAAAAAAATAAAAAATAAAAAAAGAAGAAGAAGAAGTTATATTTGTTATAGATATTTTAATAAAAAGTAAATAAATATATAATAAATTATATATTCAATTATAATATATTAATTACTATTAAATTATATTTAATCTAATCTTTTTAATTTTACTTAATATCGTATTAAGTATGAATAACTGTTATAGTTATTATTCTATATAAAGATGAAGATTTCTCATTTTTCAATAGAGAATGATTTGATGCATGAGTGATGATATAGAGCAATTAAAACTCTTCTCTCTATTTTATAATCTATCTCCAAAACTCTTTCTTCTGTGAAATGTTAGTGTATATTATTTTACATATCGAGTTTATAAGCAACTAGACTTATATAAATTTGGACCTAGTCTTCCTGTGGTCGTGCACATGGAGGAGACGCCACTGCGAACTGATTGGGTTGTATCTTGGAATGAACTAGTTTTACCAATACCCGCACGAAGGAGAGGACTATCAGCTTTAGGTCAATGTGTTTACACATGTCTCAACAATCAGTTCAGCATTTTCTTACCTATTTTAATATTATCATCGTTTCATAATTTCTATTATTATGTTAATTTTTATTGCAGAATTATTATGTTGTTAAATATTTATTCATTATTATATTCATGTTGTTCATATGATGTATTATTCAATTTAATGAAAGTATGTTATTTCAATTTTCTATTAATGTTATTGTTCCTTATTTTAATTCATTGTGTTATGAATAAAGTTGATGTATTGTTATTTATATTATTTAGAAAAATATGTAGAATTTCCACAGCAACATTTATGTTACAAATCGGTGATATTAATTAAATTATATAGATAATAAGCAAGGGTAATTATGTCCAATTAAAATGAGTTAAATTGGTTATTAGGTATATTATTAATACGGTCATTTTACTACATTTTAAGGGTGATTTTGGCATTTAAAAATTATTTCAAAAATCCTCGAGGTCAGGGTTAGTCGGAGTGATTGGGCCAAATTTTAATGGGGTTGACCACACTTTCTCATATAGTTTCACGGTAGCAAAATTTAGACAAAATCTAATGGGAGGTCCGAGTATATACTTATTAAAAGAGAAGCACCATATATTAAAAGGAATTCTAAAAATTTAGAAATCCAATTACTACATCAAACTTCGGTAAATTTAATTTCACATTGCCCGATATAAGGTCGAACAAGAAGAATCCGTTTTTACATTTTTGTAATTATGAGAAACTTAAAAATGTTCCATATTAAAGCCATTTCAGGGCAATAGTTTTTGCTTCTTTTGTTTTTGTTTTTTTCAATTTTTTGATTGGATTTTTTAAACTCTTACTTTTTAAAGTTAAAACACCGGTGCTTTAAATCTAGCTATGTGTTGAACAATGCTTATAAATCAGTTCTCAGGAGTAAAACTAGGCATATAAACCTAAAAATAGATTGTCCTGCATGCAATTAAATGTGTTTGAGCTTTTATTTTTTCTTCGCAAAGATGACAAAAATGCATAAATGCATAACTAACTATTCAGCAGCATATGTGTTAGTAATTACGTGATCCCCAATAGTTATCCAACAAAAAATAAAATAAAATGAGAGGCGATTGTCTCGAGTAGGTAAGAATTTGGCATTGCCTTAAATGGGGAATGAGACTTTCGGAAAGAAAAAAGAGTTAGTAAAACAATGAGTCATATATATATATATATATATATATATATATATTGTTTTTGATAATTGAGACATCTAAGATTTTGACTGGATTAATTCAATAGACTCATGTAAGGTATCCCCCTCCCACTACACGAATTTTGTAAAATTCAAACTATGTTTGCAAGCACGACCTCTAAAAAATTATTTATTCTTATGAAAAATCGAACCTAAAATCTAGAGTCCAAATTTTTTTCATTTCGCCCAACTCTTGATTTATAACGAGTGTCTAACATCTATTTATAATCTAATTAACTTATAGTAGTAACTTTCAAAACAAAAATAATAATTAATGGCGAGACACCCATTTAAGATGAAAATGAAAGGAAGGCGAGGTTTAATTCAGACTTTGGGAGTTGTATAATTATGAGGTGTTTTGTCGTGCTTCCTGCAAAACTTTTATTAACATTGCACTTTGGATTGGATGATATATATATATATATATATATATATATATATAGTCATTCGGAACGCGCGCAAATAAATAAATATATATATATATATATATATATATATATATATATCGCTGCGAGTACAGCTCATAGAGTCAATGCATGCACAACTTTCCAGTAAAACAAATACTTCAGCAACCTTGATATGTGCTAATAAACAAAAGCATAAATTATTTGCAAATTGTCGCATCGGGAATCTTCTTGTTGTCTAACATTCACGTGTCTGAATGTTTGTTTTTGGCTAATAAATTTTAAAATAGGAAATTAAGTATCAAAGGAAATTAAGTATCAATATTGGGCTGCTCGAGGAATATAACGCGTGGTATCCAAAGCAAATCACATGAAGCTGCCATAGTTTGAAACTTAACTCTAAATATTCCTCAAAATAAATATTTTATTTTTAAAACAGTGTAATGTGAGTTACCATTTTTCAAAAGATATAAATTTGTTTTGGAATAGAGATAGTATGAGACAAGGAGGAAAAGGGAGGAGGATGGAGTTAAGTGAACCTGAACACACGAGGATTCTCGAGAATGCTTTTGCATTTTCTATTAATCATCCGTAAAGAGTATTACAATGTGTTTTAGGATCACTGCCCACTTTCTACCCATTAAGAATTTGTTTCAAATGCCGTATAATTTGTTAGAAAATTTGCAAGAATGTTCAACCTTTTTCTGGTTGAAAATATTTGGGAAAGAAGATATGAAGCTGGCTTATTTTACAATTAAATAAGAAGTGTATACAAAGTATCTTCTACTTCCACTTTCTTATCAGTCAATTTGCATCCCATGGACATGCGTGGTATATAATTGGTATTACAGATGCCAATCAAAAATTGGGCCTTTTGCGACCAAATTATTTTCGATCAAGCTGGATGTCACAAATACTACATTATTTGCAACCAAATTGAATTGATTATAAAAGTTTACATATTAGCAACTAAAGTAAATATTGGTCGCAATTGGTGAGAATATTGACGACTAAAATAAATTATGGTCACCAAAAGATTCATTTTTTACGACCAAATTTTATAGTTGCAAAATGATCAAAATTTTGTCATAATTGGGGAATCGTAAAATGGTTAGTTTTTTCCTTCTAAATTTTATGGTTACAAAAAGATCAAATTCTGGTCGCAATTGGTCAAGGTATTAACAACCAAAATAACTTATGGTCCTCAAAGGACACATTTTGTTACTGTAAAATAATATATCAACTAACTAAAAACCCTGCAAAAATGTCATTAATTGCAAGATAGACAAATTAGTCATTTATTGTTTCGATTTTAATTAATTTGTAGAAATGCCAATATAAGAAAAAGATAAAAGAAAAATAAGAATATATAATTATTAAGTGTTTTACCAATTCTCGATCTAAAATGACCTATAACTTAAATATTATAATTAATAACTATTGTTTTTTTAATAAAAATGTAAAATATATATATATATTATGGAGTATATTTAGAAAAGAATTGACTAAGATATTGTTTGATAAGACTGAAAATTAAGTATTGAAAATTTTAAAAGTGATATCTCATTTCTTGTCGACACCGCGCGCAAACACTATATTTCTCTATTCTCAGCCATATTCTTCAAAAACCTCTTATTGCAACCTTCAACTTCTTCTCAATTTTAGGGTAAACTGATATCTCATTTCAACGATATCTCATTTCGTAATTTATCAACTTCTCAGCCATAACAATATCTCTTCTCTTTAAAAAAATGTATTATATATTTAAGAGAATTGACTAACTAGTACAGTTTATGTTTCATACAACTTTTTGTTATTTATATATAAATAAATATAATTTTTTTTTAAAAGTACAAAAATTCTACATATATTATTTAGGGTTAATTACAACGACACCCCCTGAGATTTAATGTATTGACAGTCATATACAACTTAGTTGTTTTTTTGGACGATGACACGCCCTTAGGTTTGATAAAGTTAATAAAGACACCCCCAAGGTCCAAACATGCCCTTAGAAGATGTGAAAAGACAAGAGTGCCCTTAATATTTAATTCATTAAACATTTTAAAAAGACTAAAACACCCTTATATAATATCTGTTGCACAACCCCAACCACCCCACCCTCCATTACCACCAGTTTCTTTACGCCCCCACCACCTACTGTCTCTTCATCCTTCACGCCACCATCGCAAAGCTCCACAACAGCCACCATTTCTCCCTATTGTCCACCACCATGGCCGCAAACCCCATATTCTCTCTCTTTCTACAAATCACAAATCCTAATTTTCACTATATATATATATATATATATACACACACACACATACATATATTATGTATTTTAGGGATCCGACCACTGTTACCAACATTTCTTTAAGCTTCCTTGAATTAATCAACTTCCTTCTCTAACTTATAACAATTTAAAGGCATCTTCTTCACCAAAATACGTCAATTTTGAACCCTAGGGTTTGTGGAATTTTATGAATCAATTTGGACTGATTTGATCTTTATCGGACGATGGAACTTGGGGTTTTTGCAGTGGCAACCCACCCCTCTTCTTCTTCTTCTTTAACGACCCCGAAGACCCACCACTCTTCTTTTTCAATGACGGCAACAAGCCCGAAGACCCACCACCAGTAATCAACTACAAATGAAGAAGACCACTTCCATGATCAGGGTGCTAATCGACGATTCGTTGCGAATGTCGGCCAGTAAATTACTCACCATCGCGGTTCTGCTGGAGAAGGAATATGGGTCTGTGTGCCGAAGAACGAAATCTCAAACAAGCCTCGACCACTCCCAAGCTAGAGTCCACCTTCCGTGGATGTTTTAACATACTTTCTCTCTCTATGATGGTGCTTCCTAATACGTAAATCTTCGATCTACAGCAAAGATGGGTCGTCTCACCCACAATGGCAAAACTGATGATTAGGGTTTCGGGGCAAGGAGCACCGTCAGTATTGATGAATGGCTCTTAGGGTTTGATTGGAACCAATACGCGACATCGATCTGCGGTGATGGCGGATGATGGTGTCGTAGTGGTGGCAATGGCTGGTAATAGTAGGCGGTAGTGGTGGCAATGCCGCCACTCCTCTTTTCCTCTCAGCTATTCCATATATATATATATATATATATATATGGGCAATAGTGTATATATATATAAGGGCAAATTTGAATTTTTATGAGTTATGATATTTTACAATAAAAATGAATTAATATTGAAGGGCAATATCGTCTTTTCTAATGTTTCAAGGGCTTGTTTGGATTACAATTATAACAGGGTGTGTCTTTATCCAAAAAACAGCTAAGTTGTATATGGTTGTCAATACATCAAACCTCAAGGGGTGTCGTTGTAATTAACTCTATTATTTAATAATAGTGTATATATAGAGAGATATAGAAATATTTAAGAGATTTGTAAATTTATCCTTTTATATATTTTTTTGTAAAGAAATATAGAAGAAGAAAAAAAAATAGACTCGGGTCAGTACATAATTGATAACATTCTTGTGGCCCATGAAGTACTCCATTATCTGAAAAATAAGAGAAAGGGGGAAAATGCATTTTTGGCTTTAAAATTGGATATGAGTAAGGCTTATGACCGACTAGAATGGCCCCTTTCTGTTAAATATTCTTGGTCGGTTGGGATTTAATAAAAAATGAATTCGCCTGATTTTTGCCTGCACTACTTCTGTCTCTTACTCAATTGCTATAAATGGTCGCCCGGTGGGCTTTTTTAATCCTTCCCGGGGACTGAGACATGGAGACCTGTTATCCCCTTATTTTTTATCTTGTGTGCAGAAAACTATTCCCAGGCGTTTCAGAGAGCTATGCAAATGAAAGTCTTAACTGGTATTCAGATTTACCGTGGCGTCCCATCTCTTTCACATTTGTTTTTCGCAGTTGACTCTATTATTTTTTGCCAAGCTATTTGCTCAGAGGTACTATCCTCAAAAAGAATTCTCATGGGTTATGAGCATGCATTGTGGCAGATGGTGAATTATTCAAAATCGGCCATTTTTTCCTCAAGAAATATGAAGAGCTCAATGCGAAAGTAGCTATGTCATTTCTTGGGTATTAGGGAAGAGGGCTTACTAGCTCGGTATTTGGGTATGCCCACGATTATCGGGCTCTCAAAAATGGATGTTTTCAATTTTGTGTCTTAAAAAGTGCAAAATCGGTTGGTGGCATGGAAATCACACCTTCTTTTTAAAGGTGGCAAAGAAGTTCTTATTAAGGATGTATTAAGCACTATACCGACTTATGTTATGGCGTGTTTCAGGTTGCCTATCACTCTCTGCGAAGAGATAATAAAGCCTATAAAATCTTTTTGGTGACGAAAAAAACCCGAAGCTAGATTGTCAAAATGGGAAAGCTTGCGTAAGAGTAAGAAAGAGGGTGGTTTTAGGGATATAGAGGCATACAACTTGGCTCTTTTAGTGAAGTAAGCATGAAATTTTCAAGTTCATCGGAAAGGTTTAACTTTTAAGCTTTATATGGCGAAATATTTCCAAAATTGTTCTTTTATAGAAGCTGAGTTGGGGTCAAATCCGTCATGGGCGTAGCGTAGTATACGGTTAAACAAACCTATAATTAAAAAAAGGCCTCCAGTGGATTGTGGGTGATGAAAAATCTTTAAGTATTTGGAATGATTTTTGGTGTGAAAACACATTTGTACCCTTTCAGAGAGTGGAGGAGCTTATTGATGCTTGCACACACTCGTGGAACATCCCTATTTTTACTCAACTCTTCTATATATATGTGGTGGCTGCTATAAGGAGTATCCCACTTAGTGTGTAGGGTCGCGAGGATAGCCCAAGCTGGGCTTTTACTGAGTCCGGGATTTTTTCTGTCAAATCAGCTTATCATGTGGCTTGTTCTCTTCAGGCTCAACCATCGGGCTGTCTGCCAATCAATCCTCGGTGCTGGAACCTTATATGGAGATGTAGTTGCCTCCCAAAGGCCTAGCATTTTTTGTGGTAGTGTCTCCAAGGGGTGCTTCTAACAAAGTTTGCTTTGAAAAAAAAAGGGTTTGGCTTTAGATGATTGTTGTACTTCTTGTGGAGAGGGACCTAAAACAGTGGAGCATTTACTTTTCAGTTGCCCTATTTCTATTCAAGTGTGGAAACTTTCTCCTCTACGTTTTGATTTTATTCCTGGATTGTTGCCTCCTTTGAGAATGGTGGTTAGCTGTGTGTAAGCGAGGTGTTGAGGCTAGTAGTATGGCGTCATACATTGCGTGGGCGATTTGGAAAGCTAGAAATAGCTTGGTTTTCAAAGGCGAGAAATATTGCCCCCAAAAGATTGTTAAAATAGCAGTGACCGCTTTTTGGGAGTTTTTTTTTTTTTCCTAGTTGGTACTCACATACACATGCCTCTACTAAGGTTTGAATCCTGCACTGGCCTCCCTTTGAGAAGTAGGGGCCTGGTACCGCTAGGCCACAAGCCTATTGATCTTTTTGGGAGTTTAGTGATGCTTACTTAAATAACCCAGATGTTCTTAGGGGTGGTCCTTCAAGCGTTCTTTTAAATAGTAAAATTTGGATGCCATTGTCAAGTGTAATATGGATGCAGCTTTCTTAGCCTATAAGGGGTTGGTTGGGGGTGGTCTAGTTTTTTGAGATCATGACGGAGTTGTCATGAGAGTAGTTGTGCTTAAGAATTTCTATGCTTCTTAGCGGAAGCGAATGTCATGCGAGCAGCATTACTTTGGGCTCTGAGCTTTCATTTCCACAGCTTGTGTTTGGAAAACGATTCACTTATTCTTTGTGAGGCTGTGCTGGGTAAGAGAGCTTGTCCCGCGAGCATTTCTACATTTGTCTATGATATTCACCAACTTATATAGCGGCACATGAAGCAGCTAAACTTTCTATGTGTCATCCAATGGAGGATCAATTTTTCCATGGTTTGCCTAGCTAGTTGGGAGGTTGTGCTACTTCGGGTAGCCTGGCTTATGTTTTGCAATGTGTTTGTTTATGCTATTTTTTTGCCTTGTTAAAAAAAAAAAAAAAAAACAAACAAAACAAAACAAAACTTAGTGATCTCTTACTCTTTGTGGAGCAAGAAAATTCTTCCGTACTTTCTATAGTGACCATTAGATTAATAGTCATATTCTAAGCTCACCTATATGCTTTTCTTTTAATACAAAACCAATATCATTTCTAGTTTCCAAATTTAATATTTACCAATACTATTAATTATAAAAACAAAAGGTAAGTACTAAAAAAATAAAAATAGAAATCTATTTACCCTAAAAATCAAAAATAGAAATCTTTTCACCCTAAAAATCACGGCTCACCGCTAATTGAGTTTTTGTTTTCTTTGAAAAAAAAATAAAGTGTTAGAAAATTGCATCCATGACTTGATACTAAAGTTGATATTTCTTCTTTGTTTGAGTTTGAAAAAGAAATTAAAAATTACACTATTAACATACAAAACATTGACTCAAAAATAATTTAAAAATTAAAAATAAAATCTCTATTTTTTAATCCACTTGATCAACTAATTTGCACAACACTTAACCAATAAAAAATTTAATAGATTACAATTTAAATTATTGTATAACTCTCTAAAGGCATGTTATTTAAAAATTAGAAACTCAATCTATTTTTCTCTAACCCCTTTGTCAAAAATTGTCTCATCTTCTTTATTAATTTTGTTTTATTTTTTTCAGTTTCTAACTAGTTGTAAACACTTCCAATCTGTTGGGATTATATGCCCTACAAATCAATTAATTATTATTAATTCGATATTTTATTTATAAATGTGATATTCATGCATTGGGCTTTACATATTTTTGCATGAGATGCATTATTATCCTCAAGTTGCATTATAGGTGACTTAAATGTGTAAATGAGATTTACACGCAGGAGAATTGGGTTCACCGATTTCTTGCACCTTGACATTGTTCGCAGTCAATTATAAAAGTTGGGGACTTTTATCTGTAAGAATGTAACACACTTGACCTCTATAAGATAGGATGGTTTGTCTCGACCATTGGGGTAGTTGACTCTAAGGCAGTGTATTAGTGTGCTTGGAGTACACTGAACTATAAGATCACACCATACAAATTACTGTTATTATTTTGGTATGTTTCTTATCTACTAGATACATTAAGCTCTAAATCTTGAGAGGTTTAGTGGACTCAAGTTTCAATATTGGTCACTTTAACTTACCAACATGTGAGATCTTTTAAGGTCAATACCATGGTAT